CAAAAAAAAAAAAAGAAAAAAAAAAACATTGGAATCAAGAAGAAAGCAAAAAAGAAGTAACATATCCAAAGTCATCAACAGAGTGAACTGGAACATTTAGTATAAACAACGGGAAGATTCAGTATATATAAGGAAACATACAGCACAAGCAACTCTGAAACGAAGAGCAGGCGCTCTACGAGATGAGAAGTCCTTCCCACTAAATGACAGTGAAGCCTTCCTCAAATTCAGAACCTGCCAAAAACCGAAAACTCTACAAATAAGTGGGGAGCACATCAAGTACAAATAAAATTGATATGTTGAACATTCTTGAATCTCTCTTAATTTACTCCTTACATTATATTTGTAATCTTGTTTAAACATCTGTACTGATAACAGCAGCGAATTCACAAAGAAAATATACAAAAGTAAAGAAAGCATATAACACTCACACTCTCGTGAACAAACATCTGGCGCCCCACTTTTATTTGACGAAAGTCGAGGACTTTTCAAAAAGTCAAACTTAAAATTTTTCGAAAATCTTTTCATAAATCAGAGGCGCTACTCAATCCTAAGTCACATAAATGACATAAATCATAAATTCATGTTCAACCAACATTTCCATAAATCCAAAGTTCATCAATATTATTTATAAGGGAACATCTCCCATTCCAAAGTTCCGAAATCCCAAAGTGCATAAATCATAAATGCCAAAGTCGTAAATGCATAAATAAGCATAAATAATCCAAAGTCAAACTAGCATGCGGAAATACTAAATGAAATCAGTCAAAGACCAACATAATTCAGGGGGCTTAGAGTATTGCACATTACCAGTGAATGAGCTCAAAATTTTAAAGTCAACCAAACTGAACTCTGTCAACTAAAACAATAATCGCCTACTTAATTTCAACCTCCCTGAATGAGACTGTTGCATAGCACCAAAACCAATCATTTTAAAGCTACCAATCAAGATGTCTCATGGAAAATAAAGTATCTTAATTATATGTTCTGTAATTTTTGGTTAATGGTGAAGTAGAAGCTAGTAACAGATCCTGAAAGAGATTATTATTCCATTGTTGATTGAGAAGATCGTAGACTACTGATCAGAATCAAAATCCAAACACCATGAAAAAACACATGGACCCAGTTGAGAAAACCAGAGATCTTAAAGAAGGCTACCTGATTACGCTCCAACGAGCAAGAAATGGCGGAGAAGGAAGCAGGAGAAGCGGTGAAAGAAGCCATTGTTTATGGGGTGCGAGAGGAAGATAGATCTGAGGAAGAGGGAAAAGGGAGAGGGTGCGGAGAGTACGAAGAGTGTGTGTGATATACCTTTGAATGCGCTGTGCAGAGAGTAGAAAGAGTGATGTGTTTTTTTATAGATGCAATTTTTTTTTCCAAAACTCCTTCGATTGTATCGAAAGGGTGTGTGATGTTTGGTGGGTCCAAAATGTAGTTTTTCTGTACCA